AGAGAGAGAGAAATGGAGTTTAACGCCCACTCGACACAAACTAGGTCATTTCGGGACTAACACAATTTTATTTCAATAATTCGCTTGCGCGTATTGGTCTTTAGCGGTGGGATGAAACCGGAGAACCCGGAGCAAACCCACGAGGCTGGACAGGCGACCCTACTCCTTGTCATGTACAACCGGGAATCGAAACCACGCCAGTTGACTCAATGACAGACCTTATGATACAGCGCGTACGTGCTAACCATTCGGCTAGCCAGCCCCCCCCCCCCCCCTCCATTATACGGAGCGTTGTTATGTTTTGATTCTCTTTAATAAATGTTAAATAATCAACCTGAACACGTATTAGCGTGAAATGAGACGTGAGAAAATTTATATTTTCCCAAAAATGCAAACAACACATCAATACTTTAAGATATCGGGGTGTATAATTTCACAGAAATATTGTCGTTTTTATCATAAATTATCTTCATGCGACACCTTTTGTTTAAGTCCAAATTACCCCCGGTAAATCGATGTTATATATTCTATCACGTCACTGATTGATTTATTGAACGGTAGTTTTTATATTTATTGTTGGTCTTTGATGAACGAGGTTTTGTGTTTTTATTGATCTATTAAGCTGATTAACTTGATGAACGAGGCTTGAAGTCAATAGAACAATGCTGAAGGGCATGGTGGATACCATGGTGATAATATAAACAACTAACATTATTAAAAATGAAATAACCTATAATGCACTGTAAAGTGGTTGATTTCAAAATGAACAATTTTTTATGGTTATTAAAATAACATAATGTTTTTGTTGACAGTGATTATCTCTAGGGTTGATTTGTGGAATCAAGTGAAGGCAAAGATGAGGAATTCATTATTTGTACATTCTGCCACAGCATGGGTATCTATGAACAGATTAAAAGTACCGTGCGAGTTTTGTTGGTTCATTTGCTTAGATGTAATGTTTAACCCATTTGGAAAGATAGGATAGGAATGTTCGTATCATTGGTTGCTACAAAATAACATAATATATGACTAACGTTTGACGTCTTAACTTTTCTGCGCTAACCGGGATAATAAAAAACGGGACATAAGAGACACATTGTACTGGTTCCAGTCCTGCATATTTATCGGAGCTAATAAACTATTACGTACCATCCCGTAACTTAAGATCACAAGACATGTCCTTATTATGCATTCCAAAGTACAATCTACAAACTTTCGGTTCTAGAACATCCCAGTACAGTGCACCCTTTTTGTGGAATTCCTTACCCCATCATCTTAAAACAGCTCCATCACTTGAATCTTTTAAAACAAAATTAAAAACTCATCTATTTACCACTGCGTTTTAGTTGGAGTGGATCAGGATTTGTGTGTAAATAGTGACCATTGAGTACATAGTACGCGCCTAGAGCATGCATTTGTGGATGGATTTACAAATATACATTATTATTTATTATTTATTATGAGAGAAATGAAGCTCGAATAGCAGCTGTTTACCGCCAACACATCTTCGAATTCTAACTGCACGAGAAAATGTACACGGTTGGGCGTTGGTTTTTCGTATCATCTGAACGACTATAGTTAATCTGACAAGTTAGAACCCGGCTTTCCTAAATGTGATAATTTTGTAGATTTGTAACTCCAAAGTTACATATAATTTTAAGAGAAACGAACAGCTTAATTCGAGAAAGCAGAACTTCCTTTATACCACTCCTTACATAATACTGTCTGTTGTAGTCAACTCAAGTTTAGACGATGATTTCATAACTTCATACACGATAAGGTTCGCCATATTCCAGACATACGTGAAGTAATGTTCAAGTTTTATCAATACCTTTATATTAAAAGAAACGCACGTCAAAGAACATTCTGTCAATAAGTAAATATAATTGATCTTTTGTCAAACACAATAAGTATATTTTATTCCTCGGAGGGATAACTTAAGACATTTTGTTTAGGAGCATTATCACTCAAGAGATAATAATAGAATATTAGAAACATACCGGAAGCCTGTAGGATTAGTTTATTCCATTATAAACAATGGTTACTTAATTCTAAAAATATCTCTTCGGATATAGCTTGTACCTTTGTGTAAATGGAGAGAAATAAAATTTAACGCCCACTCCATACAATCTAGATCATTTCGGGATTAAGATATGGTTCAAGTTCAATAATTTGCTTGCGCGTATAGGGTCTTTAGCAGTGAAAGGAAGCCGGAAGACCGGGAGGTTGGACCAGTGACGCGTGAGACAATTTGGCCACCCTACCCCAAACGCCCCACATTTTTGTAAACACTGTCCAGGTGGGCATACAATGTCCAAATGTATGATGATATCCAAATTGGTTGGCACTCGTTGTGAATTTTCGTCCACATGGGCCAAAATTATTTGACATTTTTATGATGAAGTATAACATAAAACATAAACAAGGCGGAAAGTATTAATGACATCATATTTTGTTATGTCACATGATAGACTGCTGTTCCACTGATATACACTTTCCGGTTGATTAATGAGTTGTAACGTGCTGGTTCTTATTTATTAACAGCATGGGTTGTGTTCCCTTTGCTACGAAAAAAAACGTCTATATTTCGTAAATCTAACCAATGTATATGCATAGAGTAATATATTGTACCATCGTGCCAAACGGGTAATCAAAGTCTATATAATATGTGGACTTTATCAAGGGGTTTTTCAGTAGTAACTTGAGTTGGCTAATCGTACTATTTCGAAGTAAGAATGTGGCGCTTCGCGCACAATACCCACTACTATAATAAGTGGCGTAAATTCATAAACATTAGTATTGATGAAATATATTCTCTTTTTTTCCCAGATTGTATAAAAACTACAAACCATGTTTATTTCGTTTCCTCTAGACCAGAAGTGATACTTTGTTTATATTTTTAAAAAGTTAAAGTATACAAACGCTTCTATACGAAACAAAAGACATATTGATCCCATTATGTTTGTTCAAAGTGGTGGAAAGTAAACACACTGAGGAATTCTGATGTATTGATTCTTTAAGGGGTTAATTATAACTGGTTATTAAAAACAGTTTGGTGTATAATTACTAATAGCAAGGTATGTTAGTGCCTTCGACTATCGTCAGCCAAAGCAAAGATAAAACATAAACAAAATCCACACTTTCCCTTTATATAAAATACAATTGTAAATCATGACAAAAATCCCACGACCACAAGATACACACAAAAACTAACAAAATGAACGTCAGAAATTACTGTATGCATGCGCTTTAGTGTAAGTTTAACTTAGAATTATGTGTAAATTTTAGGAGCGATGACGCCATTCGCCAATTTCTGTAAAACAACGATAAACGTCTACTGCACGTACACTACTGCTAATCAGATTTGTGGGCACACTCTTCAGTCTAGTCTCCTTGTACAATAACTACAATATTGTTTAAGAATCTAAATTTTTAAGGGCACCTTTATTTTATTCTTTGTCTTTCTTAAATCAACCAATCTGTATCTGACATGTAGTGCCTAATCAATAATAAAACCACTTCCATTACCTTTTGTTTTAGTATAGGTATGTTATAAACATTAACCTATAGAATTCTATTTGGCTGTGTTCTTATTTCATTAAAAAGCGGAAGTCTGTCAATATGTTTTATCGATAAAATCCCCTAAACATTTTCATTTATTTAATTAAAGCTGCACTGTGTAAGATTTAGATAAGAGATGGTCGTTCTTGCTATAAAATTGGTTGGATGGCCGAATAGTTAGTGCGTGCGCGCTGAATCATAAGGTCTGTCATTGAGTCAACTGGCATGGTTTCGATTCCCCGGTTGTACGTGACAAGGAGTAGGGTACCCTTCCACCCCGTGGGTTTTCCCCGGGTCCTCCTGTTTCCTCCTACTGCTAATTATTGAAATAAAATTGAACCATATGTTAGTCCAGAAATGACCTAGTTTGTGTCGAGTGAACTCGACCTTATGATACACGTGCTAACCATTCGGCCATCCAACCCCTTGCAAATTGTTGAAATAAAGTTGAACCAAGTGTTAGTCACGAAATGATCGAGTCCCATCTCTCTCTCTCTCTCTCCCAGCCATTCGGTGATCTAGAGAGTTGATTATGGGCTAGGCAAGTGAATGAATGTCTAAATAATAATTTATATAATATTTGAAGTCAGAAATATACCTGCCATAAGCAGATTTAACTCTTGTATAATGCATCCTGAAATTAAAATGTATTGATAAAGGACAGAGATCGCATGTATACAAAGACTATTTGAATTTATATGTACGTAAATATTGGAACAAAGACTTTTTGAATTTCTTAATTATACTTTATATTGATCATATTACATACGTACATTGATTATCAAGTTGGCATATGGGCTTTAGTTTCTACGATAGATTTGAGCTTTTGTTGTGTTCCTTTGTTTTTTCCTTTTATATCGACTTTGAAACTAGAGTGGAATAATTAGTGGCAAAATTGTTGATTTGAGAAACAACGCCCTACCGATGTCAACTACCCGTCATGTTTTGGGAACTTTTGTGGTCACTGATTGGAATCATTGAAAATGTCCAAACACCTAAGGGATATAATATACCCGTCTCGTGAAAAAAAACTACAAAGGAAAATTTTGGGAGCAAAGTTGTTGATTTAAAAAACAACGCCCTGGCTACCCATGTCGTGTTTTTGGTCTTGCGTTGTCACTGATTCGTACCGCCGAAAAATTTTAAACACCCACGGGATACATCATTATTTTTACCCTTCTCGTGAAAAAGCAAAATAAAATGGAAAGATAATAAAAATAAAACGGGCAATCTGTCACCCGCGGAAATAAAACTCATTAAGATTTGTTCAATTTCATAATTCTTAGTTGAATCGATATTGATAACAAAAACATCTTGATACAAAATCTATTATCGGGAATTTATTTATTCTAAGCACCGTTTATTGGTTTCTGCCTGTAGGTGTTTTTTCTTGTTTTTCTCAGTTCCGTTAATACTCAAATATATCGACTGTATGGAGTTATTGAAGCTCATAGCCTTCCAATTGGTCGTCCTTAATACTGTCGTATTATTGTTGGGCTCTCAAAGAAAGTTGTCACAGATTTGAATATATCAAGTGACGAGGCTGCACGCTTCCTGTGATTTACTGTGGTCTGTGAATACATTTGGATTAGTGTGAGTATTATTTTTTTATTTTTTTTTTGTTTACGAATGTACACATTTTGATTTTTTGTGAAGTCATCGCATCTGAAGTCAGGAATCATTTGTTTAAGTTCTGCCGTGCATTGTTTATTTACGAACATACATTTTGTTTGGGTTTTTTCCCAACATTGATAAATATTTGTTTGTTGGGAGGAAATAACTGATCGGGGGACTTTTATGTAAATCTTTAATGTTTACTATTGTTTTGATTGAGCATTACTACTTCCCTAAAGTGTTGCGGGTCTTACTGTGACGATGTTGGTGTTATTTACCCGTTGACCGTTGGAGGGAATATTTTTCAGCGAGTGGTTGGTATCCCTTTACTTGTCATTTATATTTTATCGGGCAATATATTTAATTTTTTACGACTTTATCCACCGTTAAAACGTACGAAAACAAAATCACAAATTAATGATAGATGATCTCGCGGCTTGGATTCAATCGGATTAAAATTTGGCCCATTAAACGTTTTGTAGCGAAGTAAATGTGTGGCGCTGGTTTGTTTTAATTGCCGATGGTTTCGAATGTTGACAAACTCTAAATCTAAAGTATAAGTTCGTAAATAATGAACGGAATTGAACCAGTTTTGACTGATATACTTTTTAGAATGATTTGAAATCAACATAAGGCCATTCTTTATTTAGATGATGAGCGGCACTGTCTATGGGTATTCAACGTGTATTGCTAATTTTCTATTCTACTTGAGCAACAAATACTTTCTTGAAAGGTTTCATCTGTGTTGGAATATAATCAAAAGTAAATAGAATTATCTAATATGGAACATGTCATTCATATTGGATGTGCCTGGGATGTTTAAGACCAATAATGATCATTCAAGATATCTTTATGAAACTTTATATTCACACTTATTACAGTAGTTAATGCCTTTTGATGATTGTAAAGTTGAATAAATTGTGTGTTTCCAAGGTATCAGATTTAGTTTTTGGTATACAATTATTGTTAAAATCTATCAAATAACGTAAGTTATGATCTTTTGAAAGATGCCTTTACACGTATAAAGTGTTATTTGGTGATATATTTGGACTAAAAAAATATTCAAACTAATCGATCTTTTAACATTTTGCTTCAAATCCCTTATTAAATATTTTAATCGCAAAATACTACCCTAAGCCTTAACATATTATTTAAAGCAGCATGTCACGTGGCTGGGGTGAGGGAGGGGCTATTTTTAGTTTGTATTTGTCCATTGACCATAAATACCGAAGACTAAGTAAAACCTTGGTTTATCCTGTCGGCTTTTTTACCGCAGCGTCTGCTGTACGTTTGGGTATCTCACTGTTCTTACAACCACAAACCATTCGATCAACATGTACGAAGCGCCACCTACATTTTCGTAAAATGGAGACCCCATCTACGTGAAGGTCTTCAAGTTATTATCATTCTTTGAGCCATTTTCATCGATGGGTATTCAACAACCAATTGTTAATATTGGAAGAGATGAGACGAATAATGGCGATTCCTTGTACACGTTAAAGTATACGCAAAAGAACCTCTGTGACAGTTGGAATTCGACGAAGAGTCGCAAACGCATCAGTCCTTACAAAATTTCCCTCATAGAACATTCCATGATGCCTGTCTTCATTAATTAGCCCATTGGTGCAGAAAGGTATGGCGTCAGGCCACATTTCATTTCGACATTTGAAATCAATTTTAGCCATTAAGATATTTCCACGTTGCTGACGTGATATATATCAATAAAAGCGCCCTTTTGTTTACGAGGTTTATCCAATCTCTTCGGTCTTTAACAACGTCTGAAAAACATAAAAAAAACACTGGAAAATAATCAATGCCAAGAGAATTATACACACAATGGCATGCAGGTTATCGATGCCCTGCATGTTTAATAATATGTTAACAATGAGTACAAAAGACGACCACCCCTGAGGGAATATTCCAGTCACAAAATATAATTCTTAGTTATATGATATCCTGGTACACACCAAAAATACCGTCGGGAGTTCTAGTAAGTCGGGGCTACTATGGCTCAGTGAGTAAGACGTTGACTAGCTAACCTGACGGTCCCGTGTTCGATCACCGGATTTTCCGGTGTAGTTTTCCCTTGGATGGGACAAAAACCAAGGTCTCGTGTACACATTGGCGTGCACGTAAAAGAACCCTTAATAGATGTAATTCGATATAAGCGTAGGTCCTAGTGCGACAGAGACATATTCTCACTCTTCTGCACGACACACAATTAATTGATCATCATTTATTAATTGATCATCAACGGTATTAATACACTGCATTTGGAATTTCTTTGATTTTATTTACTTAAATAGCTATGTATAACAGTTTTAAATAAAGATCTTAAATAAGAACTGTGACAAATTATCGTGCACAATATACCATCGCCGACGAAACGTGTGACAAAGTGCTCTATAACTTTCGTCGAACTGAACGATCATTTAGATGCATAGAACTTATTGACCTCAGCTGGTTTTTATTATATATGGTATTGACTTTTGAGCACTGTATAATCCTGTTAGGCACGAATTGGCTGTTATAATTTAACATGTAATTAATCCCATCTGTCATTTCCAAGCTACATATGATCTGTGTACAAGCTCCGCATGACCTCAAAGGAAATAAGCATCGGTCGATTAATCATACTATGACGTGATAAATAGAAATAAAATGAAAATGAAATGAAATGGGGTTTAACGTCCTACTGTTCTGCTCCTATACTGGGCTAATGAAGTCGGGCATACGCCATACAGTGTGCTATGAGGGAAATTTTGCCCCAGCAGCAGCACTATCGCCTACTCTTATATCGAATTCCAACTGCCAGGGGATCTTTTACGTGCATCATATATGATCATGACACTTATCCATTTTCCCTAATTGTTGGCCTATATAACCAAGAGTTTACTGGCAATTAGGAGGAGAGAAAGACGGATGGGGAAGAGAAGAGACGCAGATGAGCGGGGGGGGGGGGAGCTGAGATCGGCGAATGGGCTCCTCCGAGTTAAGCCGCTGCCGAAGCAGAAGGGCGGAATGGTTGAAATATAGTCATATACTGTATTAATGTACCGTGTTGATGTTTTATATTCTGTTCCGATGTAAAGAAACCCTTTATGTACGAAACTGATCTCTGATATCACTAAGATAGTGCTCGGACGTTTATTATCAAATATTAGCAAATCAGTAGGGTGTTCATATCATGAAAGCTCTGTCGACGACAAAATATCTTTGGCGTGCGCTGGCCTTTAATCTATTGGTTTAAACCCTGTATGCACGAAACTGATCTCTGATATCACTAAGATAGTGCTCGGACGTTTATTATCAAATACTAGCAAATCAGTAGGGTGTCCATATCATGAAAGCTCTGTCGACGACAAAATATCTTTGGCGTGCGCAGGCCTTTAATTTATTGGTTTAAACCTGTACCTGTAGTAAATGTGTAAAATTGTGTATTAATTACAAAGAGCAATAGTGTATGTTTATATCAAATAAACGGTTTACAGAACCAAAACGAGATCGAAATATTTCGCGAGTTTTTAAATCTTTGATATCAATGCTTTTGATATGTGTGTGATTCACGGGATTTTTTTTATTGAGAAATAAAAATAAATATGAAAGGACTTGTCCTTTAATTATTATAGTGATATAGCATATTGCGATATTAAATGTCATTGATTTGTGGTATGGATTCCTTTATACCATTGATCTTATATGCATCTGGGTTTAACCTTTCGCATTTCAACAACATTAATCACACCAGCTAAAAATTTAAAAAAAACAATATCTAAAAATAGTGGTTTGAGATACATATAAAGAGTGGGCTGAGATACACAAAACGAAATGAGCTAGTTGCTAAACGAATATTAATGGTCAATGTCACAATATTTAAATTCCTCTTCCTCTTTTCAGTAGGTATATTGCTTGATGAAGAAAAACAAATTTGTTTTATGTTATTCAGATTTCCTCAGATGAAATTGACAGTATCTATATATGGATTTCAATCGAATTTGCTAAGTATATTGCTTGGGTATAGTGCTTTGTATGCGCCCGAAGTTTCGGTGTGTGCATATTATGTCGTCACCAATATCGGTCCGCGAGCCCGTCTGGCAACAATAAGGATGGTGAGGCTACTGACTGTAACGGACTTTTCATCAAATTCGGCATGCATCATTGCTGTCTCTGCCAATATTCCGCGTCAACAATTAACTTGTGTACGCGTCAGAGTCTACAGCTTTTTATGTTGTTGTTTGTTTTTGAGGTAGGGGTGCAAATTTGGTGTTAAGCATTGGGGTCATGAACGGACGATTCCTGTTCATTTCTAGTGTATTACAACCTTTACGCCCAGATTTTCGAATACCTTGAGGCGATATTGTTGTACGAATCTTCTTCAAAACATATATAGGTGTGAAGATTTTTGGTGGAATATTAGTATTCCAGTTGGAATTCAACATAAGAGTAGGGCAAAGTTCCCCTTACAGTACACCGTATAGCGTATGCCCGTTTTCATTAGCCCAGTCAGGGCAGAAAGGTAGGACGTTAAAACCAATTTCATTTCATTCAATTTTCCGACTTTTCTGCACCAATCGGGCTATTGAAGATATAAGGCATAGGCTATGCAGAGTGCTAAGACTGTGGCATTTCTTCATCGAAAGTCATCTGTACACATGAGATTTTTTTTGTTTCTGTACTGTTCTTTGGCAGGCCCTTTGCCCTGCACTACCGACAACGAGAAACCACGCTGCAAAATCGCGGAGAACTTACTTGACCAACACCAGGATCAGTGTACATAATCATAGTAATGAGAGGAATATGATGATGAGTTAGTTGTATTTTACGTCCGCTTCCACCGAGGTGATATCGCAGACAAGAGAGGAATATGGCCGATAACCCCTAATATATTGTCGAGTTAAAACGCCGTGATGTCGAGTTGTCGTGGTGTCTGGTTATAATGTCGTGATGTCGGGTTGTTTGTTTGGTTGTCGCCATATGAAGGGCGACACCATGACATCACGACATGATACCAATCAGCCACCCTAGAGAAGGCTGTGTTATAGTAAATGTAACTTTACAGAGTAAGTCAACTGCGGTAGAAACGGGAACAATAAGCGTCGATATGATTGGGTTATACATGGGTAGAAAAGATTTAGCAATTATTGCTATATAATAGTAACTCTAATCAACCATAACAACACATCTTCTATACATTTATAATGTATCACTATCACTCTGTCCTTTGTGTATGTGTTGTTTTATGAATGTTTCTCATTTGTTTGTTTTTTATTGTTTCGATGTTAACAACTAGGACTTTTGACAATGAATTATTGAAATCATATTTCGTCGTAACAGTAGGAGGAAGAAAATGTTTTTGATCGGACGTGCGCTGTTCTTGGCTTTGTTTTTAAAAGCCTGTTCTTATTGGTAGGGGTTTATCATTCATTATGTCAGGTTAGTAATGAATTTAGACAAACATTTTGTAGCTATTTTTGTACCTGAAATGTTGGTCATTGGTTGCACGATAGGTTCAGTAAACAGTGTGTGATTTACCCAATTCTGGGCATCCTTCGCAAACAAATTTCTGTCACTATGAACTGTGAACAGCAAACGTAAATAATTTCCTACGAACGCCTATATTAATTTATGTTCCCTAAATTACCTTGTGTAGTATATATCTCCGACGCGAGAAATCCCATCCATATTCGAACGCTATTGGTGGATTTATACGATTAGTATACCGGCCACTCAAGATTTCTTAGCAATCTCCTTGTCTACATTTGACCCCGAATTTCTTTCATAAAACAACGTATTCGGGTCTTGGAGCACAAATGTGATTCGAAATGGAAAATTCGTGCTTTGAAAATAAGAAAACCGTGCTCTGTAAAAAAAAAATGGTGTAGAGCTATGAAAAAGGTATCGATGCCTCCTGACCCCTAATGAGTGTTTCCTCTTGTGGTGGTCAGTTGCTCTCTTCCGGAGGCCAAATAGAAATACTTCGCCTATGTTTCTAGTCTCGACCTCCAGACTTTAAAGACCACTTAAGATCAAAAATCTAAATTTCATGTATGTATAGCCCATGGTTACTATATCAACTTTACGGCAAGTTCACACCAATCTGATTAAAATTAAGTTAGTTAGTGTTAGTTGTATTTTACGTCCGCTTCCACCGAGGTGATATCGCAGACAAATTAAGTCCGCTGTTAACGTTTAAGTATCCGACACGCCAAAACGCTTTTCGATTTTTCAATTACGACCTTAATCCGGTTGATTGGCAGATGACGTCACAGGCACTACACATAGGATATACATTATCTATACAATATCTCACCGTATGTACAATATAGCACTATCAATACACACGGCAACTGGGCAAGCGTCTATTGACGGTCCAATTACCACGTGACTGGCCTAATCATAATCACCGAATTATCGTCTTTCATTGGTATAGATTAGACATTTGTGATTGGAATATTTTAGAGTGTATTTAAAATGCCGTATCATGCCGTAGATCAATTTAAGCTGCCTTTGTTTAAATAGGCCACGTGTCAAATGAAGATGACTCAAGAAATTAGCGCATTTACCGGTAATTTGGATAACCCCGTAGTACTTGATATCCCAAACTTAAGTACAGAAATACAAACCCAGAGAGTGGGATAGTGGAGTAAGGGGAGGCCACGATAAGACGGGCCTGGCACCTAAACACTAAAACGATGACATCTACCAATCCAGAAGCAGACGGGATCATCTACCAAACGATATGTTTTATGTTAAATAAAGGGAAGAACTTCCCACTAAACCAAATCCATGGTCAAGGCCAAATGGAAAGATTGCAAAATCATATTCTATAAAACAGGAATCAGCTTGGGTATATAGTAATTTTAAACAACTTATTAGTATAACTTAATTTATTTTATACAATTAATGTGTGTGTGTATGATTCTACCATTAGTTCGTTCGTTAGGTATTACGCACACGTTCCACTGAGAGTGATGTCTTTGATCTCGCCGGCGTAAAAAAAGATAATTACCTAATCAACATTCTTAATCCCACTAACACTCACTGCTAACACCAACTTGAAATTAATTTACGACCCATGCCTGTATAACTTTTATGGTCGGATTGATTAATTAATGACAGATATTAACGACACTACACTTTATGTGGAAAAGCGAAGTGCTCGCAGTAAAAACCACATAACTGGACCCGTATATTTTGTACATATTAAAAGTGTTCGTCCAATAAGTTCCATATTGTAAAAAAATAATTAAGAGTTCAGGACTTCAAAGTTTAAAAGTTGTAGGCACTCTAAATTGGATCTTAAATTAAAATGAATTACAAAACAAATTATTCCGTAGTCAATTGTTTTATTTAATTAGGGGGATTAAGGAATCCTTCAGGCGTTAAAAAATACACACGCCGGCTGTATATAGGTAATTAAGGAATAAACATTTCGAATATGCATTCGGTCACTGTGACGTCACTGGCGTCTGAGGGGATTAAGAGTGTTTTCGATAATTGGCAAAGCTGTTTTTACGGAAGGTCTATTTTTACGACTTTGAATGAAGATAACTGAATTAATTTCAACCAGATTGGCGTGAACTTGCCGTAAAGTGGATATAGTAACCATTTTCTACACGTATCTCAAATCTTCCGGGACCATCTTATGTGCACTTTAAAAGACAATAATCAGATTTTTTAAATTCTGTTCCCTTGTTACTGATATAATTTGAGTTTTAATGTTGGTGTGATGGTAGAATTTGAATTATAATTCAAATACTATTGTAACAAAAATGGTGTGTTATCTTCCTAGTGCTGAATTGTCATGCAAAAACATATATATATATAGAGAGATTGGTAGATCTATATTACGTTTTATGGATTTTATGATATCTTTGCAAAAAGTTCTTTGTAATACGCCATACAAATGGCCGATTTGGGTAATTTTTTAACCCTTAAAGATACATTATGTAAGATTTAGATAAAGAGCTGGCCGTTCATGCTATAATAGTTCAAAAATTTCTTCATTCAAATTACTTTATTCTAACACAAGTTGTTACTGTTTGTAGTTTTGACAAGATGTGTGCATTGATTGTTTATTATCATAACTACGGTACTGGTATATTCGAGACTTAGCTATGTGTTTTCATTTTTAAATTAAATCATTAAATGGCCCGAACCGTTCTAATCTAGTTAAAATATAGAGCATCCGATGGCATCGAAAGTTGATTATGGTCTTGTCATGTTACTAAAAGTACAATAATTAATAATTTATATAACATTTAAAGCCCAAAGAAATGGGCAAATCTAGCTCTTGAAGAGTGTATCTTTTTATTCCTGTTTTAAATGTTGTATTGGGGAAAATATTCGTGTACACATTAACAGTGAACAAATAGCAGTTGAATTCGATACAGATTATGGCGAACACTACTGTCAATGAAAATGTAGTCTCTCTTGAATGAATACAATACAACATTACAACTTAAAATGGCACATATAATGTACGGACAAGATAGCACCACTCTCTTCAATGAACATAATATAACAATAGAAAAAAAGTAACCTTTGTCTACTAAAAATGGCATTAATAATAGACAATAATCAGTATTCTGTTCCATTCATGATAAAACTATTCTAATCATGCGTAGACTTTTATACTAATATGAATGGACGGAAAATCGAAGCATGGCGTTATTTATATGGTAAACACGGTAATGTCATTAGTCAACTCTAAACGTTTGATATGAAGACAGGAATCGGGTCAAAATAACACCCAATTCACATTAAATGATAACATTTTACCATTATATGCTATAGATTTTTCTTCCTAAAATTTATTTAAGATCCCCTTTCTAATTGCAGCTTTAAGCCCTAACGACCAATTAGCACCAATCGACCGATTCCAAGCAGTTTTCAATCGAATATATGGTGCTGAGTACCGTGCCGCTAAAAAGATGCTTCATCCCAAGTTACAGCAGAAGAGAATGGGAGCTCCACGCGGTCCGACGCTTTATGAGCGCATTCTCTTGTTCAGGCGATTACGTGGAGAGCGTGGGGTTGGTGATCCTAAGGATGGGGAGGTAAGTATCTGTATATTTCTCAGGTTAGATGAAATACTTCGTACGATTTGTATTAAGGCTTGTTTTACATTGAAAAACAAACGAATGGCATTTAAATCGTCCTTATGAAAGGGTGGATTCCACAGGTGATCGGAAACAAGACCTGATTCAACTCTCTACTTATATACGTTATTGTGCTATGCGGGTGCATTTCATCAAGACAATTTATATTCCTCCTCAACTAATCTCAAATGTCAAAGTATCTGTACGGTGCACCCACTGTGTATTTTGAACATAATAATTTGATAAAGGTTTTTATCACTGTGGCATAAAATTTCCATGTTTCTTTGTTATTTTGTGTTGACAGTTCTGGAATTTAATATGAATATACTCATTATTAAACGAATTTTAGCTATTCTCATGGATACAAGCAGTAGTTACTTGCGTTTACATATTTTGGATCTGTGTCGGGGCTGTTATAGGTATGCTACTAAAATCCCATGATCGATCATACCGATGAAAGCTACATAGATTATCAAGATTCACGAAGCCTGGTTACTAGGTGTAACTTCCGCCAAGCAAAAATCACCTGACGGGTACGAAAATAGCTAAACACCATGTACTGTATATAAATACATCGAATGACAAGAATACTTAGGAAATGTTTGGTCAATAGCCCTGTTATGTATAATTATTGATCTCTAATTGTGAAAACAAGTTAAAAAATGTCAGTAGTCTAAAACACATTATCAAGGTTATTTTAAGTACTTCCGGTGAGTAGTGATATAGCTGTCAATACCTTAAAACGCTAATTTAATATTGGAAGTGCGGTTGACAACCTAAAAAATAAAATGCACCCCCCCATTTTCTTTTCTAACTAGCTTAGTGGGGACAGGCATACACCGTGGCGTTTTGTATACATGAGGCAAAACCTTGAACGGATTGCGGCGCTACGGCCTACTCTACCTTCTATTTCCAATTGTCGGAGGGATCTTTAACCATATGCCAAACGTATAAATCGTTTTCCCCTATGTTTGCTCGTTCTCTATTCTGCACAACTGGGGTGGGGTGGGGTGGTCAAGGTTAAATAATACAGAGGACGTTTCCCTGCCGACAATGGAATCCAACCTGGTATATGTCTTTCAAAGAGCAACATTTCAATTCGATATCTGTCAAAACGTCACTAATATAATAGATATTTGCCCACAAAATAATTAATAATAATTACTGCATGTCCGAAGGAATATTACGAGTAAATCGTACGATTTACGAGAACTTGGCACATAAATATTTTTCAGAACGTTTATAACTATGTATTAGGATTTTACACTCATTGACTCATGTCAGACTAATGTACTGATTAAAAGATTTTGGTGCCCCCACATGGAAAACTAATTGAAAATTCTTAGTTTTAAATTTGGCATCTAAAAAAAACAGACATTCTTTGATGCTCTAAGCACGTGCTTATTTTGCTTAATCCAGGATTGTATACCATTAAATTTAGCTTCGCAATATTAAGCGGAAGTCGGAGTTTTTACTAGTTTTAGTTTCAACATTAACCGACACATAGGTGTTGATCAGCGCGTCAAATATAGTTAAATTGACAATTTTTGCAAAGACTGGAATTATAAACAGCTATACTTAATTCAGAAAAAATCTGATATTTCCAAATCTATTTTTGCATAAAGTTATGAACAATCGATAATCAATAACTGTTGCGTCATTCAAACAAATACCTTCACAATTCACAACTTTATACAAAACCAAATGTGATCTTTCAACAAAAATTTCTACATCGAATTATAGACAGGTTATAATATTAGTTACTTCAAATCTATTCACGGGTTTTTAAGATTACGCAATAATTGATTTAAAGGATAGGAAATTGGAATCATTTTTCTAGGGTTATTTCAAACACGCATATAGAAACAATTTGCATGTAAATACGAATCTGTCTTATTAAATATTAAATGCGTGCATAAACATAAGAAAATCGTTAATAGATTTCAAGTGCAATTGAGTACACATTTGTTTTTAAAAAAATTATAATTGATTTTGAGAAAATTTTATCAAATTTGTGTCGTGTCTGTAGATAATCAAAAAAACATTAGATTAAATTTGAATATTTTTCTTGATACGAAATTAACATCGCGGTCTATTTGTTGACCGAAATAACAGTGTTCAATAATGTTGTTTCCCTACTACGGTAGACTGGCCCGGGTACACCAAAAATCAAGTCAAACTTATTTCTGGCGAAATATAAGCTTATTCAACTAATAGTAAGTGCAGGGGGGGGGGGGGGCTGCACAATTACACAAAACAAATCTACGGACAAGACACGATACGCAGAAATCACAAACAAACATACATATCAGTGAATGGATCCAGGGTCTAGATGTAAGAGTCTACTGCGCTGTACAATCCTGGGCCTGTAGTGATACAGACTTCACGCAAAAATGAAAACTAACAATAAGGAGAAATATATCCCCAAAACATTGTGTAATACTAGTACGAGTCGTGATCTGCTATATGCCACATGAAATGGGAATGTGAGCATTTTGGAGGAAAATATTACCTTTTCAAGTAACCATATCGGTGAAATGTATAAAACAGCCAAGTAGCCTACAACTAAATAATCTATGTATAGCTAGTGAGAAACATACGTAAGCGTTCGAAAGAATTGAGGTGTATTGACTACAAAGTTAGGGCATATGTCCTATTTACCACAAAAACAGAGGAAAAAACAATACTGAATACAAAGAAACAAAGGGAGAAAGTGCAACGTGACGTAAAAGGCGGTGGTTTGCCAAATGACGTCAAGAATTAAATGTAATAAAAAACAACAATAAAAAGGACCATAATTCAGATAAGACAACGCCAAAAGTTAAATAATAAGCTATCAATTTAGGAACTAGTCGGAATTATTCACCTATCAGAAATGTCAATCTAGGTATGTTGAAGAAATCGAACTATAAAGGTGTATTTATATAAACGCATGAAATAAGGGCGATAATCCAGATAGAATTAGGAAACTGCAGAAAATTAAATTTAAATATAATTATTCAGTTAGATCATTACCCAATATGTAATCAGTTGTATACTTACAAGAAATGTCACACTTGGTATGTAAAGGGAAGAAAGTTTCGAAATTTCTTTTAAAATATGTAATTGTGTTCCGCCTTTGGAAATGCAATTAAAATTGAGAGATTTTATTCTAGAAAGAAATAGTTTTTTTATCGTTACATATTGTTAAAACATCGTAATGTCCGTGAATAGTCAAATTTGTCCGTTTTGTCGAAAATACCGACATTAAATTTACTGTTAATTATATTAATATCTAAGTCAAGAACAGATGCAGTTATAGTGCCAGAATTTTCTTTATTTAATGTTAGTTCTGGGGGTTATATTTCACTTTGATATTTGTTGAATATTCCGTTACCATTTATAGCTGTTATGTCATCAATGTATCGGAAGGTGTAGTTAAGACTTTTAGCTACTTTGTAATCTGGTTTTTCTATGATCCTGAAAGCAGATTTCATATTTCTATAAATGTGGATTTGCCATAATTGGGGTGGGGTCAGTTCCCATTAGTAAGCCAATTGTTTGCTGTATTATCTGATCCCCAACCTCAAATATGGCATTGCTAATAAAAAAATATATAATGTTTTGCTAGCCTTATCGACAGGCGTTAAAACAAATCTCTCTTGAAGAGTAGCAAGGCATTCGGCTATAGATGTATTGTTGTTAGGACTTCAGGTAGGGGGCATCTTGGGTTTTGTTTAATATACTTGATTCACTTTGACAAGAGATCAAAAATCGAGTTTTCCCATTCTCCAAAAGATTCTAGAGGTGACGAAATATATCAGACCAAGCTACTATACATTTCCTGATTTGAGATTATTATGTAACTATTTGAAATTTGTTTTACTTGGTTGTTCTTGAAACTGTGGTCCAAAGCGGATTTTTAAGATTTTTATCTTCAACAACATCGAAATATCCCCTGTGTATATTGTCTTTAAAAAGACAGTTGACGCATCGACATGGAGTGTTATCGTAATTATCAATAAATGCTTGTACATTTAGATTTTCAATAGTTTAATGGTAGTTAAATATTTTATCACGAATTGGGGGGTAAAAGTTTGTGTACGACTGTGGGTGAAATTTTCGGAATAGTATCTGGTGTAGATTTAATTACTTATCGCTCTCCAAAGATTCTATTCAATCCAATGTCCAATGATTTTACATAACACATCAGGGGTTTTTCTTTCGTACTTTATGAGGATGTATAACATTTACAATTTATCAAACCGATTATAACATCGTAATATTGAGGAAGAAAACGTTCATTGGGTTGCTTAGAATTGATGATATCCTGTATGAGAACACCAAGTTTTTTCGTTGTTGATTTTTTCAAAAAGTGTACAATTTGTCGTTGAGTACACACACTGCACAAGACACTTTATCGGAAGTATGACATTGGCATATAGAATACAATTCATTCAAAATAATTTCCGGGTCTTTTTGAAATTTCGATTTTTTTTTAATAGAACATTTTTTATTTTGAAAATAATGATGATAATGAACTTACTGATTTTCAAAAGACACAAATACTACAACAGGTTGATTTGTGTACAAAGATTCATACGGTTTTTTGAATATGATCCAAATTAATAAGTGTATATCAATCAAGTGTGTTTCCAGCTCGGCTCTCTGACCGGGATTCGAGACCCACGCGGTCCCCATTCCAACCAGCTCATATGGCCCTGGTTCTAGCCGTAACTCAAGGCGCCCACAGTCTTCGCTGAATAATCTCCTTTTCATACCTGCTTATAACCCCGTTCTAGACAAAGAATGATCGAAGGGATTATGCAGCTGGCTATATTGCATCATATACCAGATTAAACGTTCAGTACAGATTGCTTTACAAGACACAGGACTTTACATAAATCGGACCAGCTATAAGTTTATATTATGGTAATGACAATGAGTGCCATCTAGACAACCATGGATGGCAATAGCCGACATCAATTCTGCTTACATGTGTCAAAATGGCACGATAACTATCAATAACATCTGTCATTATGTAACATCTGTTTTAAACTAATACTGGTGTGTTAATATTCCACATCCTTCTATTTTAGGCTGAAATATTTGATAATGTAGATGGCGAGAAAGCTGTAGCATATCATGCCGAATCTAAACCTGATGATTCACCACAAACAACCAGATCTAAGACAAGGCAACAGGTACATTATTTTCTTTGACCTAAAGATACGGTACGTTGCGCCAAACATCTCTTGCATAGTTCTGAATTCACCCGTCTCTGGGGGATTCACGGTGAACTGATAACATTATATTCATTAAGCATCGGTGTTGGCGTCTAGGGCACTAATACTACCATAGGACGTGTTTATTTCGCAATAAAACCCAACTAAATTAATTTGAAACAGGAAATGAATAACAGAAAATTTATGAATGCCTCATATGTCTTTAGATAATACCTAAAATAGTCTTGGGAAGTTCACAATCATGCTTACTTTTTTCGGAGTAACTAATACGATACTTTTAAATATTTCTTTGTGGCGGGGTAGTTAGTTCTCCACTGTCTATTATAATCACAATTCCAGGATATACATTCTTATCATATAAGACTTTAAACCCCGTTCCATTACAATACTTTCTGTGTGAATAGAAAAAATCAATGTCTGTCGCCATAGAGTATTGTCAGTTAATAGCAGAATGCAAACAGTAACTATCGATTTGTCGTAGAACCATGACTTCAATCCCCGGTTGTCACAGCAATACCACGTCAACAAATCATAATGTAATGGAACAGATCCGCCTAACGGGAATAACGGATGAATAGAGCTTTTCTTGTGGATTTTATTCAACAGTGTACTTGGTTTTAAAAAAGTAATATTGGGTGTATTTCTCTATTGAGAAAAGGGGGCTGGGTAGTCGAATGGTTTAAAGTGTTGCACTTTAAATCATAAGGTCGTTCATTATTGAATCAATTGGCGTGGCTTCGATCCCACACGTGTACGTGACAAGGAGTATGGTCGCCTGTCAAACACTGTGAGTTGTCTCTGAGTCCTCCGGTTTCATCTCACAGCCAAAGATCCCTACACCCAAGCGAATTATTGAAATAAAATTGAAACATAAATATGCTAGTACCGAAATGACCTAGTTTGTGTCAACTGGACGTTAGCTTTCCTTTCTATTTTGTTACATATTAATTTTTACGGTTAATATTAAGGTAGGCTAAAGGAAAGACAATAATAACGTGGCAGGGAATTACATACAATGCAGCCATGAAATGAGATAGTGGGGGGGGGGGGGTAATGTCCACACGACACAAACAGGTCATTTCGAGACTAACATGTGGTTCAATATTATTTTAATAGTCCCCTTGCGCGAAGGAGTCTTTAGTAGTGGGAGGAAACCACGTACAACCGGGAAATCGAAACCACGCCAGTTATCTCAATGACAGACCGTATGACGCAACACGCTCACGCTAACCATTTAGCCATCCAATCCCCTACAGCCTGAAATAGAATCAGTGTGTGCTGTATAGGCATAAACTGGCCTGGGATTAATGCCGAGTTGAGTCAATATTTTGGAAAGACAATATCTGACTGATTATTGTTTTGATTTATAACAGGAAACAGGAAGTGTTTTCTATATTTAGTATGCCATATCCATATATTGTTACTATTTCCTCAACACATAAGTGAGAGTTGCCTTAATCTAAACGTATATGCACGTCTTTGATTTTGTATTGAATATATATAGTATTCAATTGAGTCGATCTGATGTGTTATAATTTTGTCTGACAGCCTGAAAAAACTCTATTAATTTGCATTTTCGTTTTAAAGTTTGAGCGGTTTGTTGCCCATTTTAGTTTCATTTTGAGTTTAAATTGTCGACTGTTATACAATCAGTTATACCTCAACACTGGCTTTATCTTCAGAAAAAAAAATATTTTCGACCCAAATTAAAAAGAATTTGGCATTTCAAGTACTAAATAAGACAATACGATTATTATAATACTGCGCGAGTATATAGTTCTTGTGTTATGGGATTTCTTCTCTTTTTCTGTTATAGGCCTATGAACAAACAAAAGGACGGGCAACTGGTTTAGAAAGGAGTGACACATCATTTGCCAGTGTGGATATAGCAGATTACGCAACGCTCGAGGACGACCCAAAGAGAAGTCCATCACCACAACCTACATTTACCAAAAATGCAAGTCGTTCCCCCGTACAAACATCCCGGCAGACGTCTGCTAAGGTACGGCCCCGGTCCATGAGCATATCCTCCATTGAGGAACACCTTAATGATCGCGTGCCTTACATAACCCAGCTCGAACCGGGATATACCGTCATCCCCGAAATAGTATCAACAAGCCAAAATCATAGCCAATATGTCTATATAAATAGATCTAAATCTAACCCCGATTTCTCTATCCACAAGTCTGACACGAATGGACCTCCACACTCCCGGGATGTTCAAACATCTCCAGCCAATCTTAATTTAAGACAAAGAGTTAGAAGGAAACGATCTGATCAACCTGCTAATGAACTAACCCTGGCCCAGAAGGTCATCTTACAGAGAAGGGTGTTGGCATATTGTCAGTCTGTCGAAGATCAGGTGATGACGTCATTTAACGACACCAGACGTACAAACGGCTTTTAAACATTCTTTCATTTTAGACAAGAAAAGCCTCCGATCTAGCGTCCTAGTCCTATTAAACCCTTAACTGTTAACATAACCTAGTTAACCCTGAACCTAACCTCAGACCAAGCAAGATCTGAATCCAAATGACCTAAACCCAGTCCTCTGTGTAATATTCTTTCTAGTTGTAATCTGTAAAATTGCTTATACATTTAATTTTTGTACAAGCATTTGTATACGTAGCTTCAGGTCTTTAGCTTCAAATCTTAGATTTGTGATCTCTGCAATCTAGTACGATTGCATGCCTACCCCGTTTAATTATTAAAGATTTAGATAAGGAGCTGACAGTTCTCGCTATATGTTGATAATGAAAATGGTATATGTTGCAAATTTCACTCAAATGATTTCATTCTGAACGGAGTTATCGTCGCTTGCAGAACAGTGTAGTCACGATTGTCATTGCTACCGGTTACGATAATAAACAAAGTCTAGATTATCCATTTTTAGATTAAATCATTAACTGCCAGTCGGATATAAATCTGTTGAAAGTCTAGAGCATCCGATGACCTCAAGAGTTGATTATTGTCTTGACAAGTTTATAAATGTCTAATTGAATTATATAACATTTAAGGCCTAAAGAAAGATCTACATGACGCAGATTTAGCTCTTACATAATGTCTGTTTAATATACTTTAATATTGCGGCTGGGTCATAGGCGTACGGGGAAATTTTTGACTGGAGGGGGCGGTGGTGGTTGGTGCCCCAAAAATGTAGTTAGGTTCTTAGTATGTTACATCATAATCATAATATCTCTTTTGCGATGAATAAGTTCTTAATTTCTAAATCATCAATAAAAGAGAACTAAATTTTATTTACTTGTAATATACACAACTAAAAACAGTTGTTTATGTAACTGTAATTCGTGGCTTACTGTACTCCAAACAATAGAGGGTTCGAGTCTTAAGATTTCTATTTAATTGCCTAACTATAGACACTCTGAATTTAAATTCGCTGTTAAATTGGACGCATTCAAGAACACAATATTTTTTTATACAACTTTTACAAAGTATAATTGTGTGCCCAAATTTTTCCAGCATTTGGTGCCCAAAATGGGGGGGGGCTAGCCTTCCCCCCCCCCCCCCAGCTCGTACGCCTATAGGCTGGGTTAGAAATAAGAAATGCATTGATACTGACAACTCGGAGTTGCAAATGGATTTGCTGCTCACAATTTGCTGAAACGTTTATAAAACTTACGATTTGCCTATCAGAAACATTAGCCATGCTATTGGCAAAACTCCAGTCGAGGGTTTATGGATCTCTCAAGGCTCACGCCGTTAGAAAACCATTTAGGACAACCAAATTTGTGAGACAAGGCTATTTTGTGTGGATTTAGTGTTTTGATTTAAACTCAGATCGATGTTACTATAATATTTGCTTGGCGTTCACTTTGTTTCCTTGCAAGATAACTAATCCCTGTTCCGTAAAAATCGTTTAAAAATTAATAAATATACCGTGATTTAGTCCCTAGTTGTGAAGGCTATTTTCTTTATTCATTTCGTAAATATACGGCAACTCCATCCCGAATGATGTTTCTAGCTATAGAATAACATATTGCCATGTGTATATCTAAATCTAAAAACAAAGGAATTATAATATAGTAATGGATAATTTTGATTTGTCCATTTTTTGTTGAACTTGTGCTGGTGTTGTGTCCCGAGCTGTGTTATCAGTCTAATTAATATATTAGAGCAAAGTTTAACATTCACCTACGGGCATTAACATGATTTACATATCCCTTTCTATTGAACCTCCTGAATAGGCCTACCACGAGACACGTGCTTCGATGCAGTCTTGTACATCATCGTCGAAAATTACGTATCCAGCAGAAGTGTCACACTTATCACGTGATACCATGCCGTCTACATTGACATGTACTGGCTTCCCAACTCTAATCTACCAAACCAACAGTGCTATATATTTGTTTCGTTACATGTTAGCCTTATAGTCATTTAATCTGTTTTTCTTTTACACTCTCCTCCTTCATCATTCATTGCGAACAATCTGATTCTATAATTTATAACCGATTATAGTTGAAATATGTTAGATCTAGTCTTTCAAAAAATAATTAGTACCCTTTAGTTTTATATCCAGTTCGTGTCAGATTTGTTTAAAGTATTATTTACGTTTATCTCTACCCTTAAGATGGTTTGGAAAAGAAAAAACCAATTGTAATCATGAAAAATAACATTTATTGTCTGTGTGATTTTACCACTTTGAATGCCTTTTATACGTCTGTGTGTCACCTCTTTCTGTTTACTTATATATCTTTGTATTAATCAAATGTACACTGACATGGATTGATCACATATTATTTTAATTCTAAAGTCGGGGTCGTCACGTATTTCTTCTTGCATTTCACGATTTTTCACATCACCTCGGGAAGTGGGGGACCAATTGATTTTATTTTTGAAGTCGTTCCCCAACGATCAAAATTTATTTAATTAAATTGAATACGTCAAACATCAGTTGTTTTGTGCATCATGAGTGAAAAACAGTCGAACCATATCATACAGCAGTTCGCGTCGTATGGAAATACAGTGTTCTAGAAAGAAACTCTTGACTTTCCCCATGTTTACTTGGAGATGGTTCTATATATTGAACCACATAAAACCAAGTTAATGAGAATGTGTCAATATATCACACAGTAAGCTACTTATAATAATAATACACCTTTTCAGAGTATTATCTCAGTTATTGTTTTCCATTTAAACACACTACGCACAATTCACATTAAGAAAATATCAGATTGTAGGGCAATGTTGGTGTCCACCAATATGACATATTATGAGTTTGAACTGGTTCCGGAATAAACAGTAAGTATCGCTTAAGATGTATAAGTGGAGAATGAATGAAAACAAGGCTCTGCACGGATTTTTTAAAAAAATTTCGTTTTGTCTTATCTTGTGACCGTAAATTCTTTTTATGAATTGTTAGTTTCGAACAGATATCCTCTCACAATCTAATAAAACACAACTTTTGTCTCCAAAGGATCTATCAGTGAGCAAAAAATCGACCGTGTGTCTGTTATCACTCTGTACCTCAGTCAGTTATATAAGGATAACTTATGTTTTCCATTTCTGCGTCACTTCCCGTTTCTTCAAATCTTCGTTATGCATCTACCGTAGCAATGATCTCTGTGTAAATTTTATATTTGGAATGTGTTTGACCAGTTCTCATATCTCATAGTAATAATGGCGGACACCAACATTGTCTCCTTGAATTCATGCATTAAAATGCATCCGACAAGAGCTCAGGTATGATGTTAATGTGGTCTGTTAATGGACTGGTTTGTTTATATTTCAGGGTGAAAAACTTATACGACGAGAAATACCTGAAAATGCCACTCCAAGAGAGATTACGGTTGAAATGGAGGACACTCCAAGGTCACCAAGGCCGGTATGTTTACAATTAAGCAATCGAATCATCCAGCATGGCTAGGTATTTAAAAGGCACAGTGACCCCTTTCAGCTTCCCACTCAATCTATATATTTTGATCTTGCTCTATGTTTTGGTCAATAATGAGCTGTTGTGACTACCAGCTTTATTTTGCTGCTGTTTTATTACTAATCATAAGCACTTGCAGAAACTTGGTTTCCGTAAATTAGAAAGCAATGCTTTTTAACAGAGCTAAAACACGAATGATTTTTTTTAATAGTGTTTTTTTCGACATAGGTCTTTCTTCTGTTAAGAAAACAACTTTTATTTGACAGCCAAAAATCAATAACCCAAAAGGTGCGATTTTCCCCGAGCAAGGGCTTAGATCAGATACATCCATTACATTATTTTCAGAATTTATTTTCAAACACTTTTTTCTATAATCGTTCAAATTAGATTCCTATAAGAAAGCCCATCAACGGAAAGCCTTTTTCATATTTTATAGTTCTTTTCCTAAATTAGTCCCAGACAGTGCATAAAAGTGGGACTTAAAACCCCATTTGATTTGATTTCCTAAATCAGTCAGTGTAGTATTTTTATTTAGCATAATGCGTTTGGGGAATGGGAGACCCCGCCGCTACCCCTGCACAACCCCCATCATTATATCACTCGGTTAAAATTGTGATGCACAAACTGTAACAAGATCATATATTAGATAAATAGATATTATAACGTGTTCAGTCAAGTATCTACCAACGGATTATTTATAAGCCTTGCTGATCAAATATCATTCTAGCTTGCCTCGTTGGTTTTCTCTAAAATAACTCAGGCGTTAATAATCGTATTGACACCACCTAAATTATATGATTATATTAATTGTTACAATGCTTTTAACAAGCTCAGTTACGTCAGGCAGTGCATGAATATTTTATTATTAGCTGAGATGTTGAAGTTGAGATACATTATTTATAATTCAGTTTCCATATGTAGACACGTCGGGTCGTACTAATAATAACCCTGCTTAATATGCTTTCAGCAAGTCTATGACAACCATCACACGGTTTGGGCCGACGAAGAGGAAGACGAAACCAAAATGGAACGTAGAGTAAGTTCTCGTCAAGAAAAACGACGTACAGCGACACCTACTAGAAAAACACCAACTCCAACGAGGACACCTACGCCTAAACGATCCCCGACACCGTCCGATTTAAATCCACACACTGTGCTACCACCTATTCACAAAGTCGAGGAAGAAACGCATGTGGAAAAGACAGTTGTGGGAAGTGAAAGTAGAACTTCCGTTAACGAGGTCTACAGTGAAGAGGTAAAGGAAACGAATAAACATGTTCAATCGGTTAAAAACGAGGACGTGGTCAAAGACGTAGAAAATTCAATAACCAAATCCGAGGATACTACTGTAGAAAGTGTGCAGGAATCCTCTGAAAAGTCAGAAAAACATTCAGTGGATAAATCAGAGGTAAAGGATGAAAACATTTCTAAATCAGAGGAGAAAAGTGAAACAATAACCAAATCGGAGGATACTACTGTAAAGGATGAAAATATTTCTAAATCAGAGGAGAAAATTGAAACATCTGAAGAAACATCTGAAGAAACATCTGAAGAAACAACTAGTAAAACATCTGAAAAGGTGTCAGAAGATAATAGTGAAATAAAGAAAGAAGAAGAAACAAGTTCGAAGGAGGAGATTACAAAAGAAGAAACGAAAACAGAAGAAACGAATGAAAAGACCAAAGAGGACTCAAAAGAAGAAAAAGATGACACGGCCGTTATAGCTGCTGCGACGACAGCAGCTGTAGCAGCCCCAGTTGCGGTCGCTGCAGCGGCTGCAGTAGCCTCAAAATCCCAACGGAAGAAAACTCCTGAACCCGAACAACCACAAACACAAGATCAACCCAAAGCCGAAGATGCTCCTGTGGCGACCGCACCAGCTAAATCGGCACAAACACCTCCAAAACCGAAAGAGAATCAGAAACCGGGAAGTAACACTGGTCCTGAAATGGATCCAGAGGAACGCGAAGATGCTATTCAACAGCTTGATAAACTGGCCGATCACAAAATTAAAAGTTTAATAGATCCCAGCACGGCCGGAGAAGCCCCCAAAATAGATAAAAAGCTAACAGATAAAGTTTTTAGTAAAGAGTTTCAAGAAGATTTGGACAATTTCTTAAAATCTCCGTGATATGTATATTTGCTTAATTAGTTTACATGCTGAATATGGTCAAACTTTCGAAGAGAGTTTTAAATCTGTTTGATGTTTGACGACCAAGTTGTACTTTTATTTTACAGAATATTTTATTTTGTCACCACTTGATTTAACTTATAATCCTGTTATGGATTTAGTCTGATGCTTTTTTTTTATCGAATCGGAATTTATAAGTTCTGTGCGCCGTAGGCTAATATTGATATAGATATGTGAAAAGCGAGCAGCAATACTGAGTTCATCTGATATGTCGATACCTTTCATATTGGTTCTTATTTCGTAACAAGGTTGGATATCATCGATATTATACGAAAAAACTGTGTGTTGAAGGGCGTGGAGCGAAATCTAAATGAAGATCTTTACTTAAGGAAGGGGGTTAAATGCCGGTACACAGACTTCAACTCATCCGTGAGAAAGGGGTGCATTTTTCGTTACCAATTACCACTTTTAGAAATGATTTCAGCAAGGAAAAAGTTGCTATTATTACATCTATAGACAATTGTGCTAATATTCTGTGATATTGCTATTATTAAATATTTTTCTATGTCTTGACCCAAAATGTTAATTGTTACTTTTTTCTATTATTTTTCTTTTACATGTTTTCTCAGTAGCTAGACTAAAATGGATTGATGTCGTCGGCAGTAATTTTTATTTTGTGTGTGTGTGTGTGTGTGTTAAAAAGAAGTGTCGCAATCTTGGAAATGATTTTTGTTTTCAAGCCCACAAAAGGAAAATGCATGGATACCGCCAAACTTCTGTTGAAGTTTTCCTTATAAGAAGGCAAACTGCACGTTTGCGTACACGAAAACTAACTATTGCATGTTTAAATTCGATGAATGCACGTAAAAGATCCTTTGGCAGTTTGAATTCGATATAAGAGTAGGCGATAGTGCCGCTGCCCGGGCAAAATTTCTCTCATAGCACACTGTATGGCGTATGCCCGTCTTCATTAGCCCAGTTTATGAGCAGAACAGTAGGACGTTAAACCCCATTTCATTTCATTTCATTTCATTTCAAGGTTGCACTTGGTACGTTATCTGAATGCTGCATCATAACGAAACCCACAACTCCCTTATCTTGGCAACCCATGTGCTCGGAAAGGGCCAATTTACTACCCCGAAAAATACACGGGAATATCGAAGTCTTTTGTTAAGATTTAATACACGGTCATTACAAAAACGGTTGAATAAAGGAGTGGTATCTGCAATGCATACATTATGTCGTGTAGGATAAAGCACGAAACTGAGGTTATGCTAGGGAAAGAAAGACTGAAGAAAATAACCCGAGAAAAAGACCCCTCCCCCCCCCCCCCCGACTTTCAGACCGCAAGTTATTCCGGACATAGAATATACCCCAAAGAAATTTACCGTTATAGGTTTATAATATACGCTAATACCTAGGTTCTTTATGTATTAAACCCCAATTATTCCTTTCCCAGTAAAATTGTGTTACTTCCAGTTAAATGTACGTTTTGAAGATAATGAATATAATAAATTGATATCTCAAATACAATATCTTATAACAATAATGCAATCAAGGGGGTTTTACTCGCGTTATCTCTATTGTACGTAAATTCTGCATGGGTGTTTGACAGAACTGACAACCTAAGTCCTTTGGAAATTTATTATAAATCATATCAACACAGGCGATATTAATTAATATTAGGTAATCAATGTCACTCCCTTATCTTTTCCGTTGAATTTTCAACTCATTACGATTCATCGCCGATACAGTTTATTAACGTCCCGAGAGAGAGAGACAAACATGTTGTTAAGTTAACAGATAGGGGGAGATAACTGCATTCGTATTCATCTAAATCTCGTGGTGGTGATTTAAAACGCTGTCAAATTTTTCCCATTGAAAGATAAGAACCTTTACGAAACCTGGTGGATTCCCCCATCCCCAATTACTGCTCGAAATTAGGTCTATTTGCAGTCGCTTTCGTTGATTTGAAGAGTTTATCTGTGGTGCCAGCATTCGACTCTATAGGCTAGAAATGAATATGACAAAATTAGATATGCTGGAATAGTAAAGATTGTGTCCACTTTTCAAAAATGTCAGTCAAATTGTGCCCAGTCAAAAACTAAAAGACCTGGCGATATAATTTTTGTTACTTCTAGAAAGTACAATATGTTCAACATCGAGGGCCTTCAACAGAAGAGTGTATGGTATGGTGGATGGAGAATATTATAAACACATATTGAACCTCATCATATATATACGAACATTTAGCTAATTGTAAGCGTTTAATCAAAACAATATATAAAAATAGTTCACTTTAATATTACATCTTGGCAAAAAAATAATATACCACATTATCTTAAAATAAACAGATAACATCCCTAATTAAATCTGTCAAGAACCCGTGGCATTGGTCCCCCTTACCATATACGAGTTATCTTATGAGAATGTAGTAAATTTGATAGAGCAGAGACTGGTCAATCTAAATAAAACACAGGCACTTGAATAGATTAAAATGTCTTACATCATCTTGTCTAGCATACTACGATAAGGACAAATTACATGTATACTCAGCCAAATTAAAAACTTGACACTGATGAATTTCAACAAAATATTTTTTCTGGTAAGTCAAATAAATTTTAAAGTGTTTCTAACGATAGTAAGTAGTAAGAAGCCTTTAATTTCATAAAATTGTAAAGTCACGTGGATCACGTGACTTTTGAGCATATAAAGATGAAAAACCTGAAAAACACGTGCAAACACAAACTCGTGAGGTCAATCGATGCAAGTTTGCTTAAACTGAACAGGCACACGTAACTTGAACTGGAAAAACAAATTGAAATTGTTATTTTCATCTTTGTTAGAAAATGCCGCGCCTTTCAAATGTAGAACGTCTACGTGCTATAGGTAGGCTCTATGCTGGTCAGTCTGTGGTCACTGTTGCAAGAGCCTTTAATTGTTCACGCCAGACAATAATTAATCTTAGAATGAGAGTGCTTCAAACTGGAACTATTGCCGAGCTCGGAGGCCCTATAATGGACCAATATTGACACCTCTTCATCGCCGTAACCGACATGTGTGGGCCACAAGACACATAAGAGTTACTCAAAGACAGTGGAATTCGGTTGTCTTTAGTGACGAATCTCGATTCGCTTTGAGATTTGCCGATGGCAGGGTCCGAGTGTACCGCAGACGAGGTGAACGTTACGCTCAAGTGTGCGTCAGAGAAGTTGACCGATTTGGTGGCGGAAGCGTCATGGTTTGGGGTTCTTTTTGTGCACATGGACGTTCTCCTCTTGTTGTTGTCCAAGGGAACTTAAATGCTGTCCAGTACAGGGATCAGATTTTGCAACCTGTTCTTCTTCCGTTTATGCAGAGACATGGGCCTGGACTAACGTTTCAACAAGACAATGCTCGACCCCATACAACAATTGCTACCAAGAATTTTTTAAGAAATGCCAGTGTCCAAGTCCTGGATTGGCCGTCGCTTAGCCCCGACCTTAATCCTATTGAACACATCTGGGACGAACTGGGTCGACGTGTTCGTCAGCAAGTGAATCCACCACTGACGTTGCAGGACCTTCAACATGCTCTTGCTGAGCAGTGGCGACGTCTTCCTCGGGTAGTGTTTATTAATGTTCTGAGATCCATGAGAAGACATTGTGTGGCAGTACGAGACGCTAGAGGAGGCCACAACCGTTACTAAACACTTTATTCCGATTGTTCTTCAAGTCTGTGAATTTCATTTTGGGGGGTACTGTGACATCACGAACGTTATCAATGTCAAGGACTTTCGGCGAGACGTATTCTTGCTTTCTGTTGATGTCAAGGTCGTCTGTGCACAACATAACACTAAAATAGTTGCCTTAAACCAAATATTAAAAATCTAGTCCCAAAAATCCCGAGTGTCAAGTTTTTAATTTGGCTGAGTATATATCAAGCGCCATTTTGTAAGTGATATAATTCAATTATGTCACTTTTACCGCATCCTGTAACATTTTGTGAAAACATACAGACTACCATCTACGCTGGATTAATCACGATGGAACTCTGGATCTCCTGGGCCTTACTGACTGGGCCACCACGATTCCCGCGTATAATATTAGCAACCGATGCCGACCTTCTACCATGCTGTATTCGTTACTCCTCGGTTTTATGGAAAATACGACTAACGAATTGGTAAATAGCGTTCGTAACTACAAAAACTGGCTCCAAAGTCGCGATTTCTACTGGAGAACTGGGGTAGCTAAGATTATATCGAGTTCACGACAGATAATATAACGTAACAAGATGGCAGCCAAAATTACAAAGTTGAACGTTTTGAACGATAAATTACTATTTTTGTAGTTATATGTTTGTTTTGGATATGCATGTCGATCTGATTACGTGATTTATAGAATTTTACATATTTGAAAGATTTTCTGAACAATGACAAGAAACACATTGTACTAACTTGTTATTGTACCGTAGATCTACGGCAGTTCGGGTTTTAGGACCGTACGGACTAGATCAACAAAAATGTTTCAGTAATTGTGGTTTAACGCCCAATCGGCACAAACTAGGTCTTTAAGGGATTAATGTCCTACGTTTCTTTGAATTTAAAATGTCTACATACCGTAACAATTAATTAGATATTACCAGAAGGCATATGCTAAGCTAATTAATCGTGACGCTAATCGACAATATACAATTTTTCACGGCTTAATGTACGATACATTGTTCTTAGATTGATTAATTAACATTTAATTAAGAAAACTAGAATCTAAACCAAAATAGATCATCAACGGAATATGTAGATATTTAATTGGATTTAAAAGAGGCCCATCAAAGGTTTAACCAATACTTAAGGGTTACACTGGCTTGTTTATATCGTTTGCATTAGATGCCGAACGATGATAAATTTTCAATTCGTCATATCTTTGTAAATACTGAAACGAAATGAAACGTCTTTGGACTGATATTCCTTTTCGCGATTTAAATTTCACAAATGAAATGGTGATTAGGGTTTTAATAATCCTTGAATGGATAATGACAGCCATGTTGATATTCCCACTTGTGCACCCGAACACGACAAGTGTGGTATTTACTATTTCCTAGTGGGAAACACGATATTTCCAAGCGGTAACGAATACAGCATTAGTCAACCAAAGGGACATAATTTCAGTTAGAAATTTAAACGAAACGAAATATTAATATTATACGGAAGGATTGGGTGGTGAAGCATTAAATTCACACTCTTTTTTCAGTTTAACATTAGAAGCTAACATAAAATGAATGCCACAAAATATACACATATGGTTTTCGTTAAGGTAATGGCTCGTTAACAATATATTATTGGAATCGCACAAGAACGGGTCTGGTAAGTTTTAAAGGTTTGGATTCTTCGGATTTGATCGTACTAACTTTAGGAAGTGTATCGTGGGTATTTTGGTGATGATGTTGTCTTTGAATCATTCTATAAGCCCTGGATTTTGTTTGTTTCTTTTCCTGGAACGTGTATCTCTCATCCAGCTCATCCACTAGACCTGGTTTCACAAACCATTCCAATGTTTTAGGATATTCTTGATATAGATCTGGTTTTGGTAAGACAC